TCATTACTTTTACTTTTATAATTTAAGTAGTTTATAAAACCAGTACTTTTATACTTTTACTTGAGTAAAAAGCTCGAGTTGATACTTCTACTTCCAAAAAAAGTATTTTTAAACCCTAGTATCTATACTTCTACTTAAGTAATGAATGTGAATCCTTTTGACACCTCTGTTCAGAAGACAAGTTGATAAAATAAATGTTAAAAATATGTATTGTTGCATACGTAGTGTGTATTGAACCTAAAGCACTGTATTGAACAGTTCGATAGAGATACATGAATTGTTGCACCTCTAATACTCAGCTCCACTGCTCATTCCACAAATGCATGTTCCTTACAAATGTGGCTCCATTTAAAAGAGAAATTGACAGACTTTCCAAGGATATAAGATTTATTGCCAAGAAGCTTTGTTACAACAAAAATATAATCTACTAAACACATTTCCTTGCTTTTTGTGCTAATTGTCTTTATTAATGCTTTATAAACAGGTTATTAATGTTGTAAACACTGATTCACACACTGTTTTGGCAAATAAAGTTATTGGGTTAATAAAATACGTAAAGAATATGCGTGCAGCTTGAAGTATTTTATAAAATATGAATATACCATTATGAATAAACTATTTGTTAAACATTAATAAATCCTTTATAAAGGAACTCTGAGTACTAACTTTCAATTCTGAGTGAAATATGTTGAAATATGAAGAGATTTTTAAAGTTTGACTGAATGTATTTATTCGTTGCCCTAAATGAATCTTTTGGGCAGATAAAACATTGAGAAGCAGCTTCTAATCGTCTGAACGGATGAGTTTTGTGGTTTTGTCTGGTGATGAGGAGCGCGGCGTGGACGAGTGTTTGCTGTCTGATTCCACGCTCACAAACGTCTGCGTGGACGTTTGAAGTGGAGGCGAGGCGGCGGAGCTTCATGAAGCATTCAGAGGCGTCCAGTTTCTCCTGCTGCATGATGAAAGACGGAGAAACTGAGCACACACGCGCGCATCAACAACCTGCGTGTCTTCCTGACATGTGATGAATTCATGCGATATCTCAGCCTGAGTCGAGTCTCCTCTGCGCTCCCGCTTCCTTATTTTGATCCAAATAGAAGTAGGAAATTCCTCCAAACTCGCTCCAGCGTCGGGCTGCGGATCGATGCCACGTGCTGCGTGCCAACCCGCGCCTGATTTATGTTTTTGAAGGCAATTATTATAAGTCGTCCCTGAAAGAGGAGCTGTTTTCTACTGATGAAGGCAGTTTTTCCTTTTTTAATTTCATTTTCCCAATTATGAGAACTAAAGTGTAACAATTAATCTTGTTTTCTTGCTGACGTCTGCATTTAATTGTTCTTTTTAAATTATTATTCTGAGCAGCAATATGCAGTTTGGCTGATTTAGGCTTTCTGTTTGTTTGTGTGTGTTTGTGTGTGTGTTGCATGTTGTTTGTGCGTGTCGACCTGGTGTTTTCCTCCTGATCATGCAGTCAGCAGCGTGTAAAGCTCTATGAGGAAATCCTCATGGGATTGGTGTGCGTTTGTGATTTATTGATCTGGTTTTCTTTCAGCAGCGTTCTGAGCCGTCATTCACCTTTGTTCTTCCTCCTTCTACCC